TAATTAGCATTACCATTGAAAATATTATAATCCTATATTTAATGGCATTTTAGTTCTGAACACCACTGATGCAGGTTAAAGAAATAATATTAACTAAAATTCTTCACAACCACTCCCCAGGTGAGAGCATTTTCAAGCATTTGAAACCTCAAAGGAAACCAAAAGTTTGATTCATTCAAGTATTTCCAAATAGGATTTTACTGCAATCATTCCAATGTTTTTCAGACATGAATTCTACAGAAAATATTAGTATTTGCTTATCAGTTTGATAATTTGCTTATAATGGAAATTCTTTCAAAATCAGGCAATGTGTCTGAATATTTTACTAAATTTAACCAACTTAAAAAAAAATTTAAACCTCATTTAAATGGAGTCCTCAGCTAACCAACTGTAAGTATTAACAAGGTGCAAGTCATGCCTACAGCAAAACTTTCAGAGTTTGGATTTCTCTCCTGTTTCCAGAAGTACAAAAAGAACTTATAAATATTCTACACATTCCACTGGGCACAGATTTCTGCTTGGGAAGTTGCAGTTGTAACTGGAGTTCGGCCCATTTCTAATCCTTTATTCACGCCTGCCCTCTCCCCTCCTTGCTCACTTTATCCTACTCTAGCTGGCTGTTTGCGTCCATGTCATTGCTGCACCAACCTCGGGCAACTCAAGGCCGTGATTTATTTATTAATCTGTATGTTCATGCCCTAAGAACAGCTCCCATGTCGCTAGAAAGTGCTAAAATTCTGCTTCACGGTTAAAAATTGTCATATTTTCAAAGAAGACCCTAATTTCCCTCTATTTTTCTTATTTCCAGATAAAGCACACACTTGCCGGCGCCCGGCTCTGCCTTCATTGCCTGTGGTCTTCACAAATTGCTATAATGATGCTCTTTGTTTAGAGGGAAAACAGATTCATAGCTTCTATGTGAGACCAAGAGTGGACAGCTGCCGGTGTTCAGGGGCTCAGGTGTAGTTACAAATCCAAACACTCTTAATGTCTTTACAGCACATCAGGTTCAAAACAAAAACAACTTGCATCATTTGTGACGGAATCCTATCAAAAACAAAGGCGTAGCTATGATCTATTATCTCTTCTGTAAAGAACTAGATTTAGTCCAGGACCGTGGGCTTCTTAACATCACCAGCCCCCTCTCTCTCTTCGGCAGCTGGTCCCCGGTGACTTCCAGCACCAGCAGCAGCTGGTGAAGTGTTCTCTCTGCACCTCCCAGAACTGTTGCTTTCCTCCTGCCTTTTTCAGCCCTTGCTCTCATTCTGGCACAGGGTTTCTTTTCTGATCATTGCACTGCACTGTTACTGTTTCCTTTGCTCTTTGCCTTAATGTCTCCTGTGGGTGTTCTTGTCTGACAAAAGTCTAGAAATTTCAGCAATGAAGGGGACACTTGGGCATTCAATGGCCAAACAGAGTTAGTGAAATGCAAGATTTCTGGTGCCACTGTAGTCTCTGAAGACATGGAATATCTCATCTTTCAACCAAAGGTTTGTTTTTCTATCCAGTTAGAGACCCTTTCATCAGAGTACAGAAGTTACATTCCTCCTGTGTTGTTCTCCAAAGTCATAGCCATATATATCGATGACAGGAAAAAGCCCCAGTGAATACAAGTTCCTCCAAACTATCTGAAACTACTTCTTACAAAGAATCTAACCTTCAGGGAAGGAGAGTCTAGCCCACAGAATTTCTGCTTAGAACACAATTTTAGGTGCAGATTTGTTTATTTAGCCACTTTATGATATTGTTTCTATCAGATTATAAATCCAAATGCACTCTTATTAAATATGTTATTTGAATATTATTTCATAATCCTAAGAAGAATTTTGAGGGGTTAATCAATGCACACCACACCTTTGTCTTTAGATTCCACACGTTATTTTCCCAAACGGTTAACTATCACACTAAAAAATACAGTCTTTTTATTTAAAGCTGCCTAGGCCTTGAGGGAGGCTGCCACTCTTTTGGAATCTCACACTCTACCTTCAGTTGCCACCATGAATACCTAAATTGCAATTCTTAGGTGCCTACTTTAGTCTTCCTCCTCCTCCTCCTCCTCCTCCTCCTCCTCCTCCTCCTTCTTCTGTAGGAGTTGTCAACACTAGAGGATATTTGATCATCTTAGATTAGAAAACACTTCTTTTCATTGCACCCAGTTCTTAGAACCTGTCCTCATATATTCTTCATTCCAAACTTCTTAGATGAACTCTCAGAGTTCATAACTGACAATGGATACCTGCTATAGTTGAACATACTAATCCTAAGTACATTTTAGATTCTTACTCTTAGATTTCCCATATATCTGTCCTGTTACTTGGCAATTCAAGAAATGACCTAATAAAGTTAATGGTCCATGAGGAAGGCAAAAGTAAACTCATGTAATGGAGTATCTAGTTCTCTGGGCAGGTAAGAAAGCATGTTAATGAACTAAACGAATCTGAATATTTAAACTCTGCATAACTCTCATGAATTGTTCTCTGGATTTAAAGCAATATTTGATATACAACCAAATCTTACAGCCTTGGGTTCAGTGGCGGCTTTCTGCCTGTAAAGTATTAAAAATGTTCTATCCAATCACTTCAAAAGTATGCATGATAGAAGAGCTTTGCTGTAGCTATCAGAAGAAACATAAAAGAAATATACGAAAGGATGACATTGGGATAATAAGAAATAGTTGGCTGCAAGAATTTTTTGAGTAGATTATGCAGAAACTGACAGACTTTCTGTTTGTATTCCATGATGAGCCGCTAAACAGATTCCTATCTTTACAGTGAGAAAAATTATTGAGCACGAGGAGGTTTGAAAGTCTTCACAGAGGTAAATTATGGCATCCTCTGACATTTTAAAGTGATTTCAGAGAAAATATAGTGCTCTATTGGCCGCGTTAGAATAGATGGAACTAACCATAAACAAGGGATTGGAGATTCTTCTCAACTATCTGGGAAACTGTCAGTCAGAGCAGGGACCGCCCACAACTTCACTGAACTCCCGCCCCCTAGTGCGAGGACCACGCTGGGGCGTCAAAGCTAACCTAACACACTCCACTGAAACGTCTTCCCTTTGTCATGACCCTGTGCTGGAGATGGTGTGACGAAACACTAATCTTCACTCTGCTACAGAGCCGTTCTTCCTGTATGATACCAAAGGCAGGCACTCTGGTAATTATGTCACCTGTGTGGGCACAACCACCCTGGGAAAATGGAACCATTATGTGATGAAAAGTAAAGATTACTCAGGTCCTTTTCCAAGTCCTGGTTCCTGTTGTTCAGGATGCTCAGCCAGACTCAGGCTCTGCATGGGTACATGAGCTAATAAATTAATTATAAGTACAAAAAAAAAATCCTTTCCAGCAAAACAAGTCCTTACTTATGCATAGTTTGCTATCTGAAGTTTTTATTTATTTCTCCTTCTCAACTCTGTGTCCTATGCTATCTTTTTATTATTATTATTATAGTAAATTACCCTTAAGTTGGTGGTCTACATAGTATAACTTTATCACCTTACAATCTTAAATCTCACTAGCTCAGACCTGTTGTCAGTTGCATTCCCATCTGGAAACTGCAGGGGGCATCTGTCTGCTGTCCTTTCTGGTCTGCGAATGCTGTCTGCGTCCCTTGGTCCATGGCTCACCTTTCCACACCTTGTTCAAAGGCAGCAACATTTGTGTCCCTGGGGCTCCTCCTGCAGTCACGGCTCCCTCTTAACTCTGCTCCCAACCACACGGGGTCCTCAAGGACGCCTGTGACTAAGTCGGACTACCAGGACAGCTGGTGTCCTCGTGTCAAGGATTTGAATTTTAAACACGTGTGCAAATTCTGTTTTGCTACTACGTGTAATGCATGTCCGGCAACTTAGGTGTACATAGCTTTGGGTAGGTGGAAGGATTATTTTGCCTGCAAGTAAAAATGTGGGAAACATTCCATTTCTCATATTGTTCAATTTAGCAATACAAATGTCAGGCAGAAGCAACCAAAGACACCCTCCATATTAAAGTAATCTTGCTAATCAACATTATTTGGGAATTGTTTTTGATTTAAAATGACTTCTTCAAAACCAGAAATTTCTGTGGCTTTTATCTCTTTTTCTGAAAATATTTGGCAATCTTTGCCTGATTCTCCAGCATACAGCCAGAATGCAATGTCTGACACAGAATGAAAAGGATTTCCATATCCACATCAGAGCCTTGAAGCCCAAGGCTACGTACTGTTTCCTGAATGTAGAGTAAGCATGGCATCTCTCTCTGTTTTACTAATTGCCCTGTTTCCCTAAACTGCTAGCACAACATCTGCCAGGGCAGAATGCATTCTTTCCAGGCACTGTACAACCACAAACCAATAAGCGACCTGCACGCCTGGTATAAGGGCAGGCTTTCTCCTGCCCAGCAGGCAGTTTTCAAGAGAAACTTTGCACAAAGAGAAAGCTAAACAACCATCCCAAATCTTGAAAGTGCTTATGTAACTGTTCATTCTGTAATGATCTCATACTGTCTCTAACTTCATCGATTTTGTTTTTCAATAGAACTGTTAAAATGTTAAAGATTGCAATTGTATGACAGGCATAATATGGGCAGATGCTCACATTCTCACATGCATTTCTGCCAAGATATTTTTACATCCTTCTGCACATAAAACAAAATGAAGACATGTGTTATAGAGGCATGTTACCAGCCACCGACCAGGAGAAGGAGTTTATTGTATGCTCATTTCCTGGATGAAGTATTAAAATAATTCTACCATGGAAAAATGAGCAGCACTTTCACAATAAAAGACTTGCTTCTGAGGCACCTTATAAAACATTCCTAATTGCCAAAACTCGTGGAAATGGCAATGTGGACCATCATATCCAAATGCCATCTCTGCTCTTTCTAACCCAATATAGACTGCACGCCACATCTATGGGTTAAGCATCACAATACAAAGTGCTGCGACAGCGTACAGCTCTGTTGATGTTCATTCATCTACTGTGTGCATCCGAAAGGCTCATTTCAAATATGGCACGACAGGAAGTAAGCAAGTTCAGGAAAGATTTGGAACTAAATCTTCAAGAAAAACACTCTGAAGTAAAATCTGTAAAATCGCAGCCCTTACCTTGGGAGGGGCAGACCCATCTGCTGTGCTTTCTTCTGCTAAGGTGAGCAGGGTTAACTTGGTTTCCTTCACTGAGGAATGTTTGGGAGGACGAGGCGGGGGGTGCAAGACAGAGCTTTCATATCTCCGCATCATGTAATACTGTTCTTCTGTAATCTCTTCTACCAGAGCCCTGACTGTACCCGGCCCCGTGTCCCCAGACAAATCACTAACTAACTGAAAAGTCATATTCAAGCGGCCAGCGGGGACTTCCCAACATTCCTCGGGGGTGGCAAAGTCACTTACAAGCAGGTAAGCGTCTGTGATGTCTTCCTCCAACTGCAGTCCTGGGGTCCCAGCCAAAATGTCCTCGTCAATGGACAGATCTCTCACAGACACTTTCACATTGAAGGGCAAGCGGAACTGCTGACACAGCTCAGAAATCTGGTACTGCTTCTTGTCATGAATCACCTCTACAAAACCTCCCTCCATGGACAAAGGGAGCCTCACTGCCTCATAGGACTTTCTGAGGATTTTTTCACAGGCCAGAAAATTCACCACTCTCTTCCCTCCCTCACAGAGGGCTTCGGAGGCCTCTGAGTGGTGCACTAGATACTGGTCCCCAACAGACACAGAGGACAGCTCCTCATGGGGGGAATGAAAGGCTTTGGTGGCCACTACATGGAGAGCCTCCTTCTCACTCTTAGCTATCTCTAGGTCATAGGCAGTGGGGAACTCCCGAGGTCGCCGCTTGAACTTGCCTTTGTAGCTACTGGGAATCAAGAAGTGTCTTTTAGGAAAATTGCTTCTAATTTCTGAGGCTAAGAACCTCGACGCCTGGTACTTCTGATGGATCACAATGATTTTTCCAAGCTGTAAAATATTTCGGGGCAGCTGGTTTCCTTGAGGGGCTTCGATGACTTCAGCCACAATGGGAAACTCTTTACCAGTCATTTCAAAGAGGTCTTCTGTAGATAACAGCTGAGGAAACCAGCTAGCATCGAAGGAGTCAGTTATGTCTTTGACTTCAACATCTAAACTGGGGAGAATGTGGACTATATCCTTCCGGACTGAAAAGAAAGGAAAAAAAGACTGACATTTCCTGCCTCAAAATGTTTCCTGTGAAATGCTCTCCTGGTGCTATAACATTTCTTTTTTTAGTTCTTATTTTTAATAGGACATGTTAATAGCATATAGCCATTACATTCACCCCAGGGAGTTGGTATATGTACATAACACATCTTAATTCTTTTAGGAAAAGAAAGTATTTCAATGATCATAATATGTTGTTTCTGACATGTGAGTTTCATTTACTTACACTTTAAGAGGAATGAGATTATATTTTAAAAATAACTTGGACTTAGTGCAGTTGTCCTGTATGTTTTATATGTTCTTTGCCTATTAGTTTGTTTTTCAATCTGTAGATATGACAATTAACTTTATAAAGTCTTATAAGATAAATGAATGAATCTGATGCTGGAAAAATAAAAAGGGGTAGAGGGAGAGGGGAAAAAGAAAGGAATTAAAATGTGCTGTGTACACGTACCAATTTCCTACAGTGAATGTAGTAACCATTATGTACTGCCAAAAAAATGCTAATAAAAAAATCTGTAAGCCCATGCTTATTCAAGAAATAGACATTAACCAGTCCTTTGGTGCCCTATGAACTTCCCCAAAATCCTGCTCACTGATACCTAAGGGCAACCACCGTTTTGATTCTTGTGAACCATTCCTGTGTATATACTTATAGTTTATGAATATAGAAATGCATGACTATATATATAAATGTGACATGTGTTATCATTGTAAGTCATGTTGTTGAGGTCCAGACTTTATAAGTAAAATTATTAAAGAAGAGTTTCAGTATTCTAGACAAGATTCTTCATGTATAAAGCCCAACATGTATATTCTTTTCAGTTATCCTGTGAGGTAAAACAGCATTGCAAAGTCAACACATATAAAGTACTTGAGATTAATATATGGAAATGGTTATCAAAATGCAATCTTTTCCCAATGTCAGTTCTTTTGCCACTGGTGTTGGGTTATTCCTGGATAAAGAACGGTGACAAAGAGATCGCAGCCACTCAGAACCCTCAGAATAGTGATGCATGTTTACCACCATGTCCCCAAGGAAAACAAGTCACTACATTATTTCAATAATTCTTTGAGATCACAGAGACACTTACAAAATCATTCTGAAATCATTAGCTCTTCATCCACTACCCATATAGTATCATTATAAATGGTCTTGAATTAAAAGTAAGGTTGTGTTAATATTAGCAGCATATTCTAATAGTTTGTATGTTTTTGATGACCTTTTAACATATGTTGTATAGCATTTTCACTATTCACTATTGTTTCTTTTTTTTCACTATTGTTTCTTAATATCTGTAGTCACTGTCAATATTCCTTCTTCCTTCTACATTTTTGAAAAGGAACAATTTGGAAAATTTAGAAGATCCAATTCATTGTTATAAACATTACTTTTGTTGTCACTTTTTGTATCACTAACTCTTTAAGGAACATCTGAAATCCTTAACTCTATAAATTGTATCATATCATATTGTCTGTGTAATAAAGTTGGAAAGACAGCATGAAAAATTATTACCTTATTTTTTGAGAACAAAAATTGAAATCAATGTTTACCTATAGACTGAAAAATTATAAAGATTCTTTAATTTTCTTATAAAAATTAGACTGGGAAAACATTTCTTACTTTAATCATTTGCTTTTATAAAGTTTAGCATACCCTAAGTTTTGATATTGTTATCATAGACTTTCAGGAAACCTATAGCAGTTTTAGAAACCAAATCTTACTATTTTGATCAAAATGAACTACATTTAATAACTCCGGGCTAGCTCTAAATAGGCATCCTAGGTTCATGCCACCCCTCAAGTCTAGGGAAGAACAAGAGATTGGTAGAATAGATGTCATTAAGTATTTCTGGGCTCTCTATATTAGCCTATCAGATCATATGGCCCTGATGCGAGCTAGATCCCAATCTGTATTTGTGCACAGTGGATGCTGTTGGCTAGGAACAGTCTTATTATCTTTGGAGAACCCTATTGCTGCCAGAGAAAGGCTCCAGGCCAGGCTCTCCAAACTTAGTGAATTTTCTGTATCTTCTTACTGACCTGCCTTCAATATGTCTGTCCCCAACTGCACTGAACTGATGCTAATCTGTTGCATTACACATTTCACACCAATAGCATTTGACGTTTGCTGTTTTTTTCTCTCTCTCTACACACCACCCACTACTCACACATGCAGCTGTAATATGTCGTGGTTCTCTTCCTTTCTTGGTATATCCTCATGCCTGGAATGATGTGCTACAGCATTACATGTGTAAATATCTATATGGGTCCGTCTCCACAAAGTGTAGTCTAGAAAAGTAATTCTCCTGAATTCTAGATATCTACTTAATATTCACTTGGTCATCTAGTAGATTCTCAAAATCAATGTGCCCAGATTGAAATCTGATCTCGTCAAATCTAAGCTATCTGGTGCTTTCTGCATCTTAGTTGTTGGGAATTTCTTTTTCTTTCTGTAGCCCATAAATCTCAGAGATAGCCTTAGTTTCTCTCTTTTTCTAACACTTACGGCCCTTTTCATCAGAAATACCCTAGTCTTCCCATATTATTTCTTTTTGTTTGTTTGTTTTGAAACAGTGTCTCGCTTTGTAGTCCAGGCCGGACTTGAACTCACTATGTAGCCCAGGCTGGCCTCGAACTTGCAACTACCCTCCTGCCTCAGCCTCCCGAGTGCTGAGCTTACAGGCATGCACCACCACACCTGCCCCACATTATTTCTTATCTGGTTTATTGCAGTAGCTTCCTAAGCAGCGTCCATTCACTGAGATCTCATTGGAATGCTGAGAGATTCTCTTTGAATGCTGTATCAACTGTGTGTGCCAACTGTTCGTGTACCCACAATGTCGATTCTGTTCATGTGGAATAAAAGCTAAAGTCCTTACCAGTCCTTGGTGCCATGTGGGTCTCGTCTGCTACTGCGTGACTTCACTCTGACTCGCTGCTCTCCCCTCACCTCAGGGCGGTCCTTTCTGCAGGCTTCCTTTCTCCTCTGTTCTTCTCCCTGGTCCATTCTCAGCTACATGCGTTCAGGGCTAACACCTGTGCACACCTTTGCCTCATCAAATCTACTTGAATTCAATCTTGTGGATGAGACCTACTCTGAATGTTCTATTTAAAATCGAAAACATCCTTGCTCTTAGCCTTTCTCTATTTTCTATGTCACTTTTCACTTTCAATTGTTTCAAGTAACTTGTTTATTTATTATGACCACTGTCTATTATTTGTTTCTCAAATTGAAGCATTGTCTCAAGAAATAGAGGACTCTCATTGTCCATGAATGTGTCGGTGTCTACAATAATGCTAGGCTATAGTAGATACTCAGTACATCAGCTGAAGGAACGAGAAAGAATTGTCAGCAGAGGGTACTTTAGTGAGCACTGAAAAGAATAATTCTGTAAACAAGTCTAGTTCCATGTAAATTTCACTGGGGAAAAAAGTTGTCCAGTGTTAAAACTCCTGCTATACATAATAGCAGATGCCATAAACCTCATTTAAAATATCTCTTAAGGTTGCAATTTATCTTACTTAGTGACCGATTCAATAAAATAAATACTGGCATTGTTTAGTTTCTACAAACCAACAGATATATTGGGGTGTAAAATATAGCCAAAACAAAGTCTTTTTCAATCAAGATTTTACTCTTTAGTTAAAAATAACTCTGAAAAATAACAATATATATCCCTAAAGAAAAATTCAATATAGGGAAATTGTGCATGCAGTAAAAATCAGCAACTGTTCTTAGATGCATCAGAGAACTAAGGTCACAGGACAAAGCCCAACCCCAAACTGGACAGTAGGTGATACTGAAAGTCACAGCTAACTGAGTGCAGAAACTACTGCAGGGATTCAGCAACTGGTAAGAGCATTTAAAAAGTACTTGATCAGTCTCTGGAAATTAAGAATGGAGTAGCTTGGGAGAAAAACTCCTACGAAGAACCTCCCCCCATGTCCCTCAGTCTTACTTCCAAGAGCCTCACAAGTTCTCAGGGTGAGAAGAAAAATCCCCTGGTGCTTCTGGCTGGGTTAGGGGGCAAGTAACCATTCCACAATATACCCAGAATGCTATGGTTTCTTTTCTTAAAAACTCCTTTCTTCAAGGGAAACAATTTCACTGCAGCCTAATCAAGTTTGATGGGATTTATCACAGCCTAATCTTCTATGTGGGGAAAAGGAAGCAGCCTTCTCTGTAATTCCACACAGAGAGGGGGAAACCCAACTCCAGCCTCTGCTAGCCATTCTGGCTCCCTACAGGAGAGGTAAAAGCTGAGCTGCATTGGTGAAGGTCACATCCCAGATACAGGGGCTCCCTGCACGACAGAACTTAGTATAGATTACAGAGGCTCCCACCCAGAATGCTCAGCGACGCATCAACACAGCTCCTGTACTGTGACAGGAGCTCCCAGCTGCAAGAATGACATTGAAGACCTTACTTGATAGAGTCTCTAGGGAAACACCACAGAGGGGGCAAAAGTAATGGCACTGAGTGAACTTTATTCTCTGGCATCCACAACTACAGCAGATAGTGAAACCAGTCCACCTCCAAGCCAGACAAGCATGAAACCCCACACTAAATGCCTATTCACCTCATTCCTCTCACCTGAAAGATCTACCTGGCTTCCAAAACAAAACAAAACAAAATTATGAAGTATGTTAAAAAGCAAATTACAAAACAAAAATGGGCCGGGGATTTAGCTCAGTGGTTCCACCACCTGCCTCCCAAGGGCAAGGTCCCGTGTTCAATCCCCGGTACCAAAACCAAAAAAACAAACAAAAATCCGATTATTTATAAGGTAAAAGGTAGTCTAGCATAAAAAAGGAACAAGCCAAGTGTACACATGGCAGAGATTTTGGAATTATCAGATGAGAAATTTAGCATGTAATAAATATATTTAGGGCTATCATGAGAAACCAACAAACAAAAGATGGATAGTATCAGTAAAGGGACAGAAAGTCTAGAAAAATATTTAAAAGAAATTAT